GGGAATCAGATGTAAGAATGTGAACCATTCAAAACAAAACATGGCTAAGTTGCCAGCTGACTTGCTAAAACGCCAGTGCTCTCTAGGATCCATTGAAGCCGAGCTCTGGATTGGCCCGGCCGCGCAGGCGCCGGGTAGGGAGCCAGGAGCGCTGGGCTGGACTCCTGGCGCTGCGAGGAGCTCAGCATGTGACTCCGGAAAGTGACCCAGGCCTCGGCTTCCAGAAACTCATTTCATGCCGCATTTCTGGGCATCCAGCATGAGACAGCGTGAGCTCAAACATCCAGCAGTTCAAATGAAGTTGAGCTGCAGGTAACAAATTCCTATCCCCGCAGAAGCAACGTTTTGGGCCTCAGTTTTACCACGGAAATAGTGGGGTTAAAACTTGCTAAGCAACCAGAAACATTGTGAAGCTTTAGGTACTAAATGATTACCCAGAGCTTGGCTCTACCAAATGAAAGGTGCTACAGATAAGCCAAGGAATATTATTTAGTTACCTGTTACTTCCCACGTCCTGGCAACCACTGCCATTCTATAAATATTTTCACAGGTTCCAGTATATCTAGAGATTTTTTTTTTTGTATTTCCTCCTCCAAGGCACTAAGGAATAATCTTCACACTAAAGGATTCACTGTTCCAAAAAGAACAGAAAGAATACAGACTAGGTTTGCTGACAGAAAGGGTAAAACAACACTACCACCAAAACTAAGAAAACAGTAGAATTTGGGTAAAGTAGTGGAAAGCAAGCTCCTTTTCCACATACTTTAGTCTGTCAGCTTGTATGCTGGAAAGAAAGGTCTAAAAGCAATATTCCTAGCTCAAATTTTCATGTGCATATACATTTTAAAAAATAGGAACCATGTGGATTAAGGAAAGTTGTGTTCTCCTTGGACATGACAAGGCCTAGTCACATAAAAATAAATCTATATGGAATTAATATTCCACAGGCAAAGGATTAATTTGCTTTTCAAAATGATACAGAAATAAATTGAAAGAAGAACTAGTATGGAACATCCATCGGTTTATATCCATTTATTTTTTTTACCTCTAACACTGTGAACCCTAAACTTTCCCCCCACCCTGTTTGTGTCTCCCCTTAACTTCACCTCCACATTTTCAGGGAGGATTTTCAAGATCTTCCTTGGGCGCAGGCAGATAGTCTGCTGTGGGAAATCCAGCAGTTTGAATGAGGTTTTAGGGTGTCAAAATGTACCAAAGAATGGAAGCAAGGACAAACGGACCTTCTGAAAGTCACCTCCCTCTGCCACCGCATCTCTCTGTGCTCTGGAACTGCAGCAGAAAATTGCTCAGAATCAGGCAAAGTCAGCACCAGAAGTTTCCCCACTGTTACTTTTAGAAAGAAGATGTTAAACTAACCTTCCTTTCGACAGAACTAATGCAAACCATACATTCTGTATAAAATTGTATTTTGTATTTTTAACCTGCATTCCATACAAAATTTCATTTTATAGCTCTTACCTGCAGCTTGCATTCTTTCATGCTGGGCTCCCACTTGGACTGTCACAGCTTGTTTCCAGAACAGTACTGCCCCACTTTTCATTTTTCCTCTAAGAACTTAGTCTGGAGCCAATATTTGCATGGCAGGTGACATAACGTTGTCCAACTCTAGTGAACTGCCAATTTTGAAATGCTATTTACTACCTGAAAACGAGCTGGTGGCTCTGGTCCAGAGGAGGAGGAGTTAATAGTTAAAATTAACACTCCTGTAATCCTTGGATAAAAACGTGCTGTGTTTCAAGAACTGGACGGCTACTGCTGGCCCTTCCCTCCCCAGGCTTACCTGCTTGTCGGGCTACATCTAACTTGTGGTATTGCAAGAATATATAAACCATCCCTCCCGGGACCCTGTTGCCACTTGCCCCAGGCCAGACTTGGCTGGAAAGAACAAGCGCAGGTATCAATGCCTCCCCCTTCCTGGGAGTTTCTGAGAGAGATAACTAAGCTGCAAGCTTCCCTGATAACCAAATAACCCCTTGTCCACACACAAACCTTCTGACAGAGGGGAAGTCACACCCACTTCCATGTTCCCACCCTTCTCCGATCGCAGCCCAAAGCCAGCTGCTTTGGGAGAACATATCCCTGCCCAGGCTGTGTGTGCTGGATGTCAGCGGAGTTGGGGCTGCACTGCTGGATTTTGGACACAACAACTGTTGTGGAGAGACATTTCACAACGGTGCTTCTGTAGCAGGTACTACCCAGAGTGTGAGGCAGGTGTGTATGGGCTGTGGCCACAAGAACTACCCCTTTTTGCTCAAGTTGTAGAGGTCTTAGAGTTCAATCCCCAGGCAAAGCTTACGAAAGCCATTACTGCCTGAAAGGTCTCTTTGTTTTTGTACCACTCTGCTTTCAATAATGATTACATCAGATCCTTTTTGACATCCCCATCTTCTCTGGCACTGCAAAAAACCGAGGCTCAACACTCAGAGCAGCGCTCAATGCGACGAACTGCAAACACCAGGGATTGGGGTTTTACTTTCTGCACTCCCAGAACACTTCCATTCGTAACCATCGTGCACAAAACTCCACACAAGCTCGGAAGGACGCAACACTGTAGTCACCGGCCCGGGTCACTGTCTAACCACCAGACGGCCCCGTCACACACGAGCAGATGAGCTGTGCGTGACAGGTACACGACTTCGAGTCCAAGAGCCAATACCATAATACGGTATTTTGATTCTTCACACATCCTTTCATCTACAGATGGTTCAATCTATTACAGCAGCAATGGTCACTGAACAAGTTAATGGCAAAACTGGAAATATTAACTAGAAATCCCATGTTTTACACCCTCTGACCATTCTTTCTCATATAAACACTTATATTCTTGCCAGCTATTGACTGACACGTAAAATCAAAATCCGAATTAAAAAAAAAAAAAAAAAACACATGGGCTCAAATTTTTAGGCAGTGTTTACACTGAGACATCAGCTCTGAATTCTGCCCCAGCACCTGCCTAAATATTATCGGTATAATTGTATTTTGAATGAAAACATCCCTGCCACCCTGACACCAGGAAATAAATGGCAGATCAGAATTGCTTTGTCCAGATGGACCTGCCCAATCCTAAAATACAAACATGGGTAGCACTTCACCTTATTAAGGTCACAGTACCTGCAACATAAAGTACAATAAAAACATTGTTTCCCCCTTTTACAGAGGCCGGCAAGGCAAGAGGAACATGTTAAACTTGCTAGCTGCATTTTCTTCACGCTATGTGGTCCGAAAACACGACTTTTAAACAAAAGCCTCCATCTCCAATGCTCCCAGCTTGACTGAGGACTCCCGTGGGCTCCTAGCTCCCCAATACCCCTCTAGCAAGCTCGGCCATACGGAGCGGAAGGATTCAGATCCAAGCTGCGCGTGCGGCTGATCCACACTGTCCTTCCCGCTCCGGTGGGAGACGCTGCCTGGTCTGCCAGGCGGGCGCTGGGAAGTGGCACAGCCCCGGAGGCAGCAGCGGCCGCAGGGCACAGGGGAAGGCAGGAGACCGCCAGCTCCGGGGAAGCAGTAAGGTCAGCTGGGCAAGGTGGGGGGATATATGGCTTTAGGAACCAATTTAAGGTTGAATGGATCAAAAGGGAGGGAAGTGTTTGAAGACCACTGGCTTTATTGTTTAAGTGGTTTGGTGTCATTGCTGTCCTGCAATCAGCGGGATTGCCTGCGAGTGAGAAAAAGCCAAATGCCAAGTAGATTCCTGTGGATAAATCCAGCAATCTTCCCCTCTGCGGCTGAAGCTTTAAAAACACAGAAAGCACATGGAGCAGAGTGGCAAAGGAAAGGAATGGTAGGGAAGGAATCTGTATTTATCTCTTAAATGGTTAATTTAAAACAGGCCTGGAAAAAGGGTGGGGTGAGGGGATAGAAATGTTATCCTACAAACTAAGAAGCAAAAGGAGAAAAGAGAGCAAGAATGAGATGAAAGACTGCAGAAAGCGCCGGTGGACACGATGCCCGCACGCACAACACGAGGTACAGGGGAGACAACGGCGCGGCGCAGACACCGCAAGTGAGTTATGCAGATCCTCCTGAACCCCTGCCAAGCAAAACTGTCCAGCCCCCGCCCAACACCGGTGTAATTGGGGAAAAAGGGGGAAAAAAAGGAATGAAACATTTATCTGGCAAGTGCTTTCAGAAAGAGAAAGCGGCTGCTCGGAGCTGTTCAAGGGGCTGGAATGCTGGAAATCGTTCCAGGGGGATAGATTAGCGGTCAGAGTGCATATGAGGCAGTCAGAGATTTTTAATAAAATGCAGTTTATCACATGGTGATTACCACCTCCTATTTATACCATATGAGATCACGATAAACACGGCACATATTTCTTTACTCCTGGAAATGTAAAATCAACTGAGCAACCAAGAGATAAACTGCTCTTCTCCATGCACTTTTATTTTCTAAACCTCAGTTTCCAAACACTTATCATGTAGATAAAGAAGACAATTAAAAACCTACTACAAAAATACTGTTTCCCCCTGCTCAAACACAGTAGATTAGGATTATGAGTCCAAATTCCAGGATCAGGATACTCCCTGTAACATCTAAATCCTACTAGTTCAAATGAAGCACAGATGGACCCTCAAAACATAACCTGTGAGAAAGGAGGTTTCAGGGCCTCCAAAAAAGTGCATCATTTATTTCTAGCCTTTGCCAGTTACACACAAGTGCTAAACACACAGCATGCTAAGACAGAAAGAAAAAAAAAAATACTTAAAGTGCGTGCCTATGCCTTAAAGAGGGTGCCTTTTCTCCTTCCCCTCAACGGTGACTTCAAGGTAGAAGGCTTAAAAACAGGAATTATGGAATTATTTCCATGGCAAGTTTCCGTAACCAAACGCAGGATAATACGGTAAAAGCCTTCATTAGCACTCTTTGAGAGTGACTTGTGTAACTCGCTTGTAGCTTTGCCAGTTATGAGTAATGCAGCAATCGCTAAGATACGCCAGCACCACCTTGGCACCACGCTGCCTTCGCTTGCTGCCTCATGTCTGCTGCACTGGAGCTTCTCGCGAGCAGCCCCAAGGCCTTCCACAGCTCTGGCAAGGGCGGCTGCGAAACCCCGCGCGCGCCGTCCCTCTCCCCTGCTCCCGACCTCATGTACATGTTCATCTTGTGTCGAAGAGCTACTCTGCTGGTCTCAGGACACAAGGACTCCCCTAACCGTTTTCACATTCATCTGATGGTATGGGAAAAACAAATAAATAAATGAATGAAGGTGAAAATGACGCTGGGCAGGTAACCAGCGCCGGGTGACACCTGCTCCAGCATCTGTGTGAGGCTCTGCGATCACATAAGCCAGAACTGCACATTGCGGGATCACCCAGGAGCGCCAATTTGGTGGGGCTCAGGCCAAGGCACACGATGCTGCCCCCGCATGCGCCAGAGCACACAACACGGAGCCAGCGCCAATTTCACGCTGGCATCATGCCTACTGCAGGGGTGCAGACCATGCCTGATTTGGCTAGAGATGCACACAGCGATATGTGACCCAGCAGAGAGCCTGCTAGCCACAAGTTAACCTGTCAAAAACTTCTTGAATTGAGTTGACCGGGCACAGTGAATGAGTACCAGGCCAGCCTCGCATGGCCACGGCATTTTTGAGGCAGCATCGGGAGGCCTATTGCTGAGTTTTCTGTGTTGCCAAACCACAGTCCAATGTCAACAGCGATGCTTATACGCGCTGGGATCTCTCTGCAGGATCAGGGCTGAAGCGTCGTTCCGCTCTCCTTGCCTTTGACTTAAAGCAAAACAAAACAAAACATAAAAAAGGGTGTGTGTGAAAACTAAGTATTTAACATCTAAGTGCTCAACGGAGACTGCTAATATGGAATCTGCACGTGAAGATGGAGTCAGGGGCATTCTACAGTGTATAAATTTAGATGATGATTAAAATAGAGGCTATTCCTTTGGGTTGCTGTAAGTTTTAGTACAGCAAACACATCAGTAACTCTGCTGGTTTTAGTAGTATTTTAGTACTCCAAACACCATTAAAAACATGGCCTGCCACGATGAACAAACGTGAACTTTTATTTCCCCTCCCTCACAGCTCCTTGGCCCCACAGTGCAGCACAGCTCATCTGAAACTGCTTCCAAAAGCCCTACCTGGTCTGCGGTGGGACTTAACCCATTCTTAACACCCGCGCGGCAAGCGCCCACTGTCGAAGCACATACGGCTACCAGTGTGCGAGACTACGCATGTTTCACACACTCTTTTCCCCAAAAAACTGCCAGGAACTGCCTCGCTCATGCGCTTGAAAACTCCCTGCGGCGCCAGCTCGAAGGGACCGTTAGCCGCCCTCCGCCTCCGTCCCTAGAACAGGCCGCCCGCAGGCCCGGCTCCCTGAACGGCCCCTCCGGCACCCTGGGGCCGCGCTACGGGGAG